ATGGATTTCCTTTAGCAAAGTCTTAATCATATCAATAACTGAAAAAAATACAGAGAAGTACAAATAAACTATAAAATGCAAAATTATCAAACGGTTCATTTTCATTTGCTTATTCATAAGTTCAAATAATGAAGTATAAAATAAATTTTTATTTACTGTAATTACTGATTTAGTCGAAACCAATTCAAATTCAATTAAGATGCGCTAATTAAATTGATTCCAAATGAAATTGCTTAAATTGACAACAAAATTATCTATCTATTAAGAACAATTTAAAATACTGTAAATGTCCGAAATGCTGTATATGAATAAAAATAAAAGGTTTTTTCACCAACCTAGAAAATGAATCATTGACAACTACTTAAATATCGAGGAAATAAAAATCAATAATTATTAAGTAAGCAGAAAGCACCTAATCAAATGTGATTCCATGATTCCAAATAATTAGGAAAAAAGAAGGCATAACGTAGCACAGGAGTAAATAGAAAGCGCGGTAAAATGTAACAAGTAAGTTAGTGGAGGAAGTCTAAGGTCGCATGTTAACAAGAAAAATATAAACAGTACAGACATGTAAGGCATAGTTTGTTTGTGGATTGGAGTAAAAAAATGAAGAAAACATCTCTCTTCAAATACTCCACGCCTCTAGCCCTCACGTGCTTCTTGAGCGAAACGCGTGTGATTATTTATGATTGTTTGTGATTATTTGTTGTTTTGTGAGGCTTTTCTTGAGTTATAAGGGTTGTGTCGAGTTATCGACAGACTTCCGTAACAGTATACATGCTTGAGTTCCAATATAACTTTGTAACATAACTATTAAAATTTTATTACGTATCATTTATGTTGCATGGGTAATATAATATCTACATCCAGAAATACAGCATATCGCTATTATTAACCCTTCATCATTAAAGCAGTCATGGTAACACCCGAACATGAGATTCATTAGTATACGGAGCTGGTTAGAGATTAACGAATCACACTTTAAAGAACAAAACAAGAAACCATTCTATTATTCCTCTGCTTCTTCGGCAAGGTCAACTGCACTAGTGAAGAAATAAATGGCAAGTTTAGAACAAAGTTGAATAATACCTTAATCTGGCTCACGTTAAATATTTCTGTGTTTTCGGTATAAATTTATTAACAGTAAAATGATGGCACATACTTTATGTATTATAAGTCTTGGGCAAGTGTCTATGTGACCTTTATCCTGACGTGTTTATTGGTTTAATAATGATGGTGATGTTCCGTTTGAAATAGTATAGTTCGATTAATTTTTGGACCGAACATGACATTCGAAGGAAACTCGACGGATGAATATAAACTGAGCCTAAAAATTTAAACAAAACAATGAATTTTCAATGATTTATGCCTACCTTTAAGCCATGTAACATATCCACAGTACATGCCAAACCCAATCATTTAACATTATAATTAAATGTCATCTGGTAATCCTAAAGTTCAAAGATGAAAAAGAATCGGTTTAATTTTGGAAGTATGAATATTTTTTATAGCGATGGCGAAATTAAATAGTTTAAGTAAAATTAATAAAAAGTCAATTTACCGATGCACATGCAGTATACTGTATATCAAAACTTAGAAAATAAATTTATAAAATCGACGTGTCTCACAATTTAAAAAATTCATAAACAAATAATTTACCTCGGACGAAAACTTTGTACATAATTTAAGATTCCCCATTTATTGCTGAAATTATCGAAACAAATCATAAGTACCGTTGGAACTTAAGGCTTTAAATGAGAAGATGCGAATTTTCTTTAGGCATTTCAAGTCTCATACGGATTCTCCTGTAATTTCCGTTAGGTAAGTCGGACTTCATTTTAAAATAAAGTATGAACAATTGTGGTAAACTGTTATTATAAACCCAGGCGAATGGAGGAAGCTCATCTTTAACTGAAAAACTTACGTGGATTTTAAGCGTTTACGTTCATAAGTGTTGTTGCCCCTGCTTCCACTGTAAAGATATTACTTGGCACTCACTGTCATATTATTCACATTATCCAATTTACAAAAATTTTTTATTTTCAATGAAAAAATCTTACAAGAATGAACACGGACATGAAACCGCGTATTAAATTAATTCTGACTAATAAATAAAGAATTTGGAAATTTTAATTATCCCAAACTGTACATTAAGTAGTGATAGCCTTTATTGATTCCTCATCTTTAGTGTCCGAATGTTTTATCAATTCCCCATCTTGCTCATTTCCACCATTTTCATCAAGTGCCTTCTTGTTTGAGCTATCGTCAACATTATTAACGTTTTTCGTCAACAAGTTCCATGAAGCTATCGACTTCAAATTACCTATCGCCTTAAGATCACCAATCATCCCGGTGCCTGTGCTCACAAGCGAATTACTGACAGCAGTTCGCTCCCTCTGTAGTTTTATCCTGTGTTTGGCGTGTTCATAATATTTATAGATCGACTGTATTGCATTTTCAACTCCGTCCTCCTTGCGGATATTTTCGCCAACCAGTTTTGCTTTTTCAATTATTTTCGGATCATTGACAACGCGCACAAGGTAATCCGATAACTTGTCGACGGTCAATTTCTTGATACAAAATCCGATTTCCATGTTTTCAACTCGGTCACCCCAAAAGAATTGATCCCCAAAGAATGGTCTTATTATGGTTGGAACTCCAGCGCGAAGTCCTGCCGCTGTTGTCCCTGCGCCACCATGGTGAACTACCGCATCAATTCTCGGGAACAGCCAATCATGTGGTACCGATTTTAACTGATAGATGCACGAGGGATACGATACTTCGGCGTCGTCTTCAGACTTCAACTGTAGTCGATCACTCCATCCCTTTGACAAGATTGCGGCCACGCCGCTTTTAACCACAGAATTGACAATGGTCCTTGTCAGCTCTTTTGGATTATCCACCACTATAGATCCAAATCCGATGTACACCACCTTCTTTCCATTTTTATGATTATCATCGATAAAATCTATCAGATCTCTTGGTGCATCCCAACCAATGTCCGGATTATCCAAGAACCAATAACCCGTAACGCATACCCAATCAGCCCAATCGTTGGCCTTAGGAACGATACACTTGCTGAAATTGTAAAGGAATGGTACTGTGGATTGCTCCATCTTTTCCATGCTGGTTTCACGTAAATTGAGGGTGCTCTTCCGCCATCGGTTAACCTGTGGCGAGATAGCTAACCAAAACGCGTTCTCGATAAAAACGTAAGAAGAATAATTATAAGGAGCCTTTAAATCGTGATCCGGCACGGCAAACGCATGAGGGTATGCTCGAGTTCTCGTCCAAGGCATTGTGAACGCACGGAAGTAAGGAACATCTTATGAATATTCAAAACACCAAAATAATTAGACTACTAATCGTTGGGTATCATTTCACGGCAGAAAAAAAACTTTTAATAGAGGCAAGTACCTAGGGCTTCAGCGATGTGAATACCAGACATGGCATTAGGAGACTCGATTATTAAATCGGTATTCTAAAGTGCAATAAAATAATTCGAAATCATTATTATTATCACCAAAATACTGGGATGTGAAAATTCAGTAAATATTGACTACCTGGCAAGCTTCCCAAGAAGTTTTTAGCAGATCATCCAACCAAACACGGAACTATGTTAGAAAGGAGTTGATCGATCAGCTTTTTTTTTTTTTTTTTGTTCTCATTAATTCAGAAATTAACTTCTTTTCTTTGCAATTTCTTACATTCAAAATCCCTTCCTTAAAAAATCCGAAGGTAAACATTCCGTTTTCTACGCATATCCTCTGCACATAAAGTAAATAAGTTCCAGATCATTGGTATAACAAAGGAAAACGTGAAAATGTAGAAAGAGCTTACCATTAATTCCGCAGGATCCCCTCCTACATATCCAAATTCTATGCCATGACCTTCAATCCAATCCTTGTATTCACCGTGACTAGCAATTCTCACTTTGTGACCTTCCTTCATTAACCCCTTTGCCAATGCGATGTATGGCTATAAAAAAAAACGGCAAATTAGGAGAAAACAAAGAATTCTAGGCGACAAAAATTCCGCGATCAATTTACCTGAACATCGCCACGAGAACCGATTGTCAAGCATGTGATATGCATCTGTTTTTTCAACCCAGTGTTACCAAAATTCGATATTGTCGGTGAATTCGGAAGAACATTGGCGAGAAGCAATTGATCCTTCACTGTGGCTTCATAAAGCAAACTACGTTGGTACAATGAAAAAAAAAAATCAATTAAAATCACATCCTTAAAAAGAACAAACAAAAAGGTAAATGACACATACGCTCGTCCATCTTCGGCATGTTTCTTGTCTTTACCGAGGAGGATCTTTATTTGATTCTCAAGAATCTCCACAAATCGATCTCGAATTTCCCGAAAACCGAATTCGAAAAACATTTCTTGCTGCGCCTTTGTCAATATCTCCAGACCATAGTATCCCAACGTTGTCGACTTTTGCATTTTAAAGAAATGAATGTCCAATAACGGCAGCACTATCTATTTTTAGATGCCGAAATAGAAATTTAATTTTTTAAAAAATGAATTAATAACTTGGGTGCAATTATACTTACATTTGATGTCATTCCAAAAACTTTAGATTTGTAGCAAATGTAATTATCGGAAATATAAAATTTCCCATATAATGGAACCATTCTAAGGAAATATCCGTAGAATGCTGAAAGTAAAAGAAAAAGGTCAACTAGCCGATGTAGAAATTTGAATGAATATGATTAAACCTGATATGAGATTCTTACTGGCATTAAGTCGTTCATTTTTTAGCGCAAAATGATTCCGGAATTTTACGCCTGCCTCTTCGGAAGGATTTTCGTCAAAGGTGCTGATATATTTCGCAGGATTCTTTAATAAGATAGAAACACGTCGCGTAAACGCATTTGAAGCAAGGCTAGATGTCTTCGGAGATTTCGGTGACGTTGGATATGATGGTATTTCATCGCTACTCTTTTCCCGTCCATGAGTTGTGATCGACCTCAAAGAGTCCATTATACGTGTTGACGCCGCCGCGGAATCTTGCATTGATTGTGATGATTTATGTGACTTCCAAAGTTCATAAAGATTCTTGTATAGAATTTGACCACCCGATGGAAAAGTAAAGAAGTACTTTTGATCCAAAGTCGAGAAAAATCATTAGTATAGATTGAAAGGAGGTGGTCGCACATGAGTGAAATGTCCAATTACTGTCTCACCTCATCGTAACTCGACGGTTCATCAGAATCTTGCGTATTGATCTGTATCGTGTTTGGAAGATTCATCGATAAATTGTTTACTATTGCTTGTATGCTCTCTATGGGTATAACGATCTTCATATTCATGTATGAAAATTGCATGTCAGCATTAGGAATGTACATCCTTGTTTTTATAAGTAAAAAAAAAAAAGAAAAATTTCTAAAAACCTTCACGCTATCACCATCATTATTCGCTCTCACTATAGACCTCTCCAAATGAGCCACCCATTCATTCATTGATTGTTCAGTATCCGCTGAAAATCTGTAAGTTTGATTGGGTACAATGATTTTAAATCCATTCTTATTTTTACTTTTTTCTACCCGTAACGCATATTTGAGATCTATGATCTCCGCTGGGCAATACGAATCCTTTAATAAGCAAATAGTAAGTTGATAAGTACATGCCGAAATCATATCATTTGAAACACATGAACAAGATTTACCATAGGATCTTCATAATACATGAGAACATCATTTTGAAGGGTAAAGTAATATCGATCGTACGTCCCATAAATAGATCTTTTCCAAAGGTTGCCATCTTTCAGGGTAAGATCCTGTTTACCAAAAATGAGAATCGAAGATTGTTCAGATTCTTGTAGGCTTGACTATAGGCAAATACAAACCCAATGAATGATACAATACCTGCACCCTCGGAAAATATGCATGAAAACAGACATGATCATCTGTCAGATACATAACCCCCTGTAACATTATATAACGTAATAATGTGCATCGATATTCTATAAATGTAATAGACAAGAAATTGAGTGAAGTTTGTGCTGATGATTAACATATTAACATGATTATAATAAATTACCTCCTCTAAGTTGTTCTGGCTTCGTCAACCTAAAAACCTCCTGCAACTTCTCGCTGTCACTTTTCTCTTTCAATAATCTCTTCGCTTTGGGAATTAATTCCCCTCCATCAACATTCTCTTGAGTTAAAAAAGTTAAATAGGTGGCATCTAACGTTGACTCGGCATTATTTCGGGATTTGAATCAGAATCCGAATCTGCGAAGATTTAGATAATTACACGCCAGGAATAATTTAGACTCGAGAAATAAGGGTGGTCAATGGACTGAAGTTAATACGAACCTTCGGAATAGCGTTTATTTTCTGAATTTTCAGAACCTTCTCGTCTTGGAATTTCATATGTCTATCAAATATGATATACGTAATTCTAAATTCCACGTTATGAATTCACACGTCACGCAATAAACATATGAAGTACACTCACTGCCCCCATCGCAAAAGCATTTAAAGCCGTAGCCAGGTTATTATTAAACATTTTCTCCTGAAAAAAAAAGTTATGTATATATATATAAGGGTCGACAAATTCAAGTTGAATTTTATATTACGTATTTTGTGTTGCGAGATTTGTCTGTGTCGGCATTCTTAATTTTGACCATATTTGTTTAAAATGGTCTGCTACCGCTTGTCATGTGTGTCATACAATAATCTGAGGCGTATGCATGATGATGATTTTCTGTAAATTGTAAAAATTCCGACTATACTAAATTTGCGAGTTACGGTGTTACACGAGATAATCGCGTTGTTTAGGCTTGGCATGATCTGATAATTATACAGTACATGACATCGTATGCTCTTTTAGAAAGTACAGTACATACTGTACGTAATCAGAAAATATTACCGGAAGAACCTTGAACAGTTTAGTTCGGAGTTCCCGGCTTTAACATACTGTATTCAGCATTTCATGACCATAATAGTGAAATAGAAATTTTTGAAAGAATGAACAAACTTACCGGCGGAAAGAAAAGAAACGTGGATTCCGGTCGCTACCAGAAGAAAGGGAGGAGCATAATTCACACACTACTTTTATCATTCCCCTTTTTAACCCATCGAAATAATAAAAAATTAATCAATAAGTTTTAGTATGATGAACGAAATATCA